GAAAATAAAAGCGCAAAAATGTTTTGAAACGTTTGTCTGTTTTTGGAAAACTTCAGCATTTTTTTAAAAGCTAACACATCTGTGTAGAACATTGAACGGCAGTCGCCTTGTAAACTTCATGTTGTTGCAGACTAATTTTGATGAGATCCTGAGCTTACTTCAAAGTTTTTTCTGGTACCGCTGAAGATCTATCTGAGATCTATAAAAAAACCTTAAGAAATGCCGCATAAAATATTCGAAAAAACTTGAATTCCAACAAGAATTATGTTTATCGAATTGACCAATTGGAGAAAAGTAACTTTTTTTTTAGCCAAAAGTAAAGCGCGCGAAATTTGAGTCCTTTTCCGAAGTTTAAATTGCTTATTCCAGTACTGGAGCACAGCAGAAAGGTAGACTGGGTCTCCAGCACCAACTCCCTAAGCGTAGTTGCCCTTACGGATGAACCGGTGGATTCTTCCAACAGGGAACTGCAGTCCAGCTTGGCTTGATCGGGTCTTGGCCGTGGCCCCAACTTTGTCGCACCAAGATGGGAGAGCCAATCAGAATCGAGCTATCTTTTTAACTTGGTTTAGATACGCCGAAAGCTCTAGACTAACTAGCTGAGCTTGTTAAAGCTCTAGCAGAGCTTGCCTTAAGAACTGAGATAGTTGGTGGCCTTTAAAAAGGCCGGTTTGGTGCTGCAGCTAAGAGAGCAGCTGGCTAAGAAGCTTCTTAACCTCCGAATCCGTACAAAGTCTTGCCTTGTCTCTTGAGGGCGTAGACGATGTCCATGGCTATAACGGTCTTCCTCTTGGCGTGCTCGGTGTAGGTTACAGCATCCCTGCCTCTCCCCTATTTCTATTACTCTCCCCTATTTCTATTACCCCATTTCTAGTACACCGTCACATGAAGAAAGTGACAGTGTATTTGAGCTCGTGTGTTTTTTTTCTCCAGAAAAACTTCGCATTTTAAATGGCCATTTTGACGGATATTTTTTAAATCAGCCGACTTTTTTATTGCCTTGAGCTCACGTTTTCAGAGATAGTTCAGTGATCATTTTTTGTATAGTTTTGAGCGTTCAAATATCGCCATTTGGCCAATTTGGGATAATTAACGCGTGATGTATTTTGCACTATCAACAAGCAATCGGCGATTCAATCCGTCCTAGAATCGTTCCAAATTGATTGAAGCATTTTCTTTGTCATGATTAATCCGTTTATAGAAACGAAATCATTCATTTTTATCGATTGTTTTTTTTTCGTTTTTTTTTTTGAACTCATCCTTTTTGTCATTACGAGGCCAAACTGTGCATTTTTTGCATTCTGAGGGGATTCCGCAACAAGGACGCTTCCTTTGTTTTTCTTCCAGAAACACACAGAAACCAAATTGTGCGCCTATCCAGTGCACAGTTTGGCCTCGTAATGGTTGGCGAACGCTATTTTGAAGACCTAATAAGGCAGTCGGAACAATTAAGGCTTTGCCCTGTTACAATCAACCTTATTCCGTATTTCGAAATTGTTCCAAATTGAAGTGTAGCATGCAATTTAGTCAATTTAAAACCTTGCTGTAGCGAATGCGATAAAATTGTGCTTAGGATAGAGTGGTTGGATTATTTTGAAAAAAAAGCGCAAAAAACGTTTTGAAACGTTTGTCTGTTTTTGGAAAACTTCACCATTTTTGTAACAGCTAACACATCTGTTTAGAACATTAAAAGGCCGTCGCCTTGTAAACTTCACGGTGTTGCAGACTAATTTTTTATGAGATCCTGAACTTACTTCAAAGTTTTTTTTATTATTTAATGTTTTTTAAGATAAACGGCGTTATATCGAGGAAAAAACATTTACTCAAATCATTGTGGCCGGAACATTTTCTTGTACATGCTTAGCAGCCGACTATTTTCAGTTACTTTTAGTGTTTAAACTATCGCGGAACTTATGAAGATACATTTTGCTTTCACGTTTTCATGCCTCGAAGTAATTTTTTTCTTCGGCTTGGTTTTTTTTTGTGAAAAAAGACTGATTCTAACAAACTAAACTTCTCCCTCCCCTCCCTTACCTTCCCCTCCCCTCCCCTCCCCTCCCCTCCCACGCCCATCAATGCAAAGGTGGAATTTAAATTTTTATTGCAGGATTTCACAAAATAATCAGCACTAAATTGTAGAAAGATATCTTGTTGACTTTTGGAACTTGGAAATACGATTCTGGGATTTTGTTTCCTACCTTATAAGAGAATGTCAACCGTGACTCTTTTTTTATCATCTGAAATTAAATATGCAAATTTCACTTGATACACTAGTTAGCTAACCAAAAATGGCAAGTCTCCTGGAACAATTCAAACAATTCGGCGTATATTCAATTAAAAACAAATCAGTATAAGTATCTTAACTTCCTCTGGAATAGATGTTTTCGGTATCTGCAAGAAAAAAAACATGTGGACTTAACATTTTCCCTAATAAAGTTATCTGGTAGCGCTGAAGATCTATCTGAGATCTAAAAAACCCTAAAAAATTCCGCATATAAATATTCGAAAAATTTTGAATTCCAACAGAAATTATGTTTATCGAATTGATTAATTAGAGAAAAGAAAGTTTTTTCTAGCCAAAAGTAAAGCGTGCGAAATTAAAGTCTGGATAGAACCTTTTCCGAAATTTAAATTGCTTATTTTCGTCTGCTCAAAAATTTTTAGATAAATCTGCACAATAATCATGTTTCTTTTAACATTTAAATATACATTTTTTGAATTAATAAATTGCACAGCATTGATTCCCTTCTTCAATAATTTTATGCCAACTGTTGAAAATCATAAAAGTAAATAATTATTTTAATTTTCACTTTTCAAGCAATCCATTTCAGTGAAAAAAGCTAATAATGAAGTGAACTGCTTTTCATAAAAACGAACTTGTACCAAAAATAGCATAACTGTAAAATGACACTACGGATGATGAAGGATCAAGTTTCGAATCGGGTAGGCGTATGAGTTTGATTATGAATGAGACCAATATCAGTAATGGCAGAAGTTGAATGTGAATAAGGTTAATGGGTTGAGCAAATGAGCAGTAGAGTGAAAAGAGCTGGAAACAAATGAAAAAGGATTACAAGATTAGAAACAGTCTGTTCATCATAATCATCCCATTTAGACCATAGAAAAGGAATGGAGGCCAATGGAGACACAATATTCATTATTTGGAGTGATTATACCTATTTCTCTGATTAAATTACTCCTCAGAGCGCAACGAAAGCAAAACAATAAGGAGTAGGCAGTACTTTCAACTTTCAAGACAAAAGTTCACGAAGTAGAAAACAAACATATGAGTCGTTAGTCTTTTTCAGGAAAGAACCAACGCTGCGCTCCAAAATTAGACTAACAACTATTTTTGTCAAGCTTTTTTTCTGGGCTCGCTTATGCTATATCACCCAGCAAGCATCAAATGCGGATGATGCTGGGCCTCGAAACACCAATTTTTTATTTTGACCGCGAGACTTTTTAGCCAGTTCCATATTGGATCCCAAAATCGCTCAAAGATTCAAATATTTATCTCAAAGGAAGGTTGTTATATGCCAATTTCAAGGTTGTTTAATGCCAATTTGACAATTGACAACAATCTTAGATGACTTAACTTTTCATATGCAATCAGGAAAACTCCGAGAAGAAACTGAAAACCAGAACACAACAAATAAAAAAATGCAAAATTAAATTAGCAGACACGTGCAACCAACTAACTCATATTCAAATCAAGGTTAAAAGCAGAAAAAAGCTCAAATGAAGCGTCTAAACTAGAAACGATTACAATTTCATTTTCTATATGGCACTCAGCTAAACCGCCAGAACTTTTTTGACCGAGCTGGAAGCACAATTTTGTTTTTGAGTGCCAAACAAGGAACTCTCATTGGCAGTCAATTAGGATAGAAAAAAAAGTTAAAAAAAAACGGTTTAACAATTCGGACCCCCATAGCTTAACTATACGTTATCTTTACGTTTGGTTTAAAATATTTTCCGCCTGTTTAAGTATCCGAACGAACTACTATCAAGTATTTGTAACTTATAATTGCTTGTTTTATTTCATTATACCTATTTGAAAAAAAAACTTACCGCAACATTGTTCTTTTTGTTTCAATCCCTTCAAGTTTAGGTCTAGCTACCCAAGACAGGAACTAACAAAGTAGGTCTAAACTATATGACATCTACGACAGCTGCAACGACAATAACGATCAGCTACGACAAGCTAGCCATGCCCGACGAAACCATTATCCCCCAAAGAAATCTTCTCATCGCCCAACTAGAGCGCTTCTTCAGAGGAGCACGAAAATCCATCATCGACATCAATTTGAAATACAACACAGCTGACTCAGAGACCGAGATGAAAAAAGTTCTCAACAATTTGAAAGACGCCACTACCTACCTTGTAGACCACCCGACTGAACAAGCCACAGCGGAGGATCTCATCAACCGCTTCACTGATATACAAGATGAACATGAGGACATCATGGATGACTTGAGACAGATGCTACAAGCAAAAACAGCAGAGACATGTCTACAACAGCAGAACACTGATTCTAGCTAGACGTCAACAATATCCAGCATCACCCATCAGCTTGGATCATCAGCACAGGAAACAAGATGACCAAAACTCTCAGATAGACGAGATACTCAGCAAAATGTTCCCCAGACAGGTTTCGAAGTCACAACAACAATAAACTGACCGCCGCATCAGCAGTCAGAACACGACGCCAACAACACAAGCCTCAGCTACAACAAAGAACATCAGTTCATTCAAGCAGCAGATTCTCAGACACCAAGTAACGGAAAATTGCAAACGAACTACAGTCGCATGACTAGACCTCCAAAAAAATCGATCTTTTTGACAAAAATCCCATAAAATGGAGTACGTGGTTCGAACTCTTCGAAGCAACAACTCCGAATCAACCCATCTCGGACGCCGAAAAGATAAACCATCTGCTGACAAAGTTATTTCTGGTAAAACCAGCAAATAAAGTTATTTCTGGTTTTTCCTGCAAAGCACTATGTACAGCGTTGCCATCAAAGAACTACGACGACGATATGGACCACTCGGCATCATCATCAATGACTTCATCAACAGAATACAGAGCTTCAAGCAACCGTCAACTCATCGCAAAGTTTCGTTCATGGAGTTCTCTACATTCATCAGTAACACTGTTGAAACTTTTCAGACGCTCGGGTTCAAAGAAGATTTGAACTTTACAAAATACGTAAAATTCACAGTTACAAATTGGAGCACCATCAACAGCTTCCTTGAGTCACTATATTACCGCCCAGGACATCGACCAGCCTAATCTCATCGCCTTTATCGAATGGATAAGACAGTTTGTATTAGCATGCAATTACTTACCACCCAACCAACCGCAGCACATGAACATGGATTCGACCGCTCGACAACACATAGCGCCAACACTTCGACACGCCAATGGATCTCGACCATCAACCAACCAGCCTTCACAGAAGACTTCTCAAATTTTGAATGCGAACACCTGACCCCATGTCCCTTCGACGGACAGATTCACCACCCAACATACTGCAGCAAGTAACTGAATTCATCTTTACAAGAGAAGAAGAGACTCGTTTCAGAACTTTTTTTGTTACAACTGCCTTGGACAACATCAAAGGAGGTAGTGCCCATTAAAGCACACATGCAGCAAAGGCAATCATCATCACCGTACAACTCTACATGACGAACAGCGATTACAACGATCACCCAAATATGATTCAAACCAGCGACCGAATTCAATCAACCATCTTGCCAGCCAAAGATCTTAACGATCAACAGCTAACCTTTGATGATTTTACCAGTCACATTACCACACCGCAACATATACCTTAAGGTAAAGACCTTTCTTCATACAGAAAGTACAAATAGCTACAAATTGCAACAGACTGCAGCATATATCCAACTGGAAGAAACTAACCAACAGGAACAACTTCTCATAGGAAGTATTTTCAACTCTAAGACGCTCAGATAGTGGATATTACAGTTAATTTATCTGGAAATAACACTAAAACATTTGAAATAAATCATGGTCTAATGAAAAAGCACATCAATCTAAATGCAGCAGAGCCTGAAAGGTTGAGAGACATCTGCAGCCTACAGGACTATCTTATGAACAATACAACTACCTATATGTTTCCCAGACTTAAACAACAACTACGTCGCCCTGGTGATTGGAGCTGACAATATCGACATCATCAGCCGAAGACCATCATCAAAGGAAATCAAAATGTTCCTCGAGAGATCCCTACAACCCTAGGATGAACAATACCAGGAATGAACAGCGGCATTCAAATTTTTTAAAGTCATCAAATTCCAGTGACTCCAATACATTTATCAACAGACAAAAGTCTTGTATCTTCTTGTTTCACTCTAGCGAATGGAAACCTACGCCTCATCGCCTGAAATAATGATGCCATCGGATGGAAGTCTTAATATGGAAACACCTCGGAAAACCATATCAGTGTAAGACAACCGCTATCAACTGGGTTTTCTGTGGAAACTAAATGCAAATCTTCCAAACAACTATAAAACAGCAATAGCCCAACACCACCGGTTGAAAATACAACTTGACATGAAATCGGAAAAACTGGTCGTCTACCAAGATACTATTGACAAGGATGTCAGCAACCACTTCATAAGAAAACTATAGCAAGACAAAAAAAACTTCGATAAAATGGATTTTACCGGAGCGTGGGGTAATCAAACCAAACAGGAATGCTTCGCCCTTATTCCAATGCCAAATCCAAATTCAAAGGAATATGCCTAAATGACATGCTTCTGACATACCTGACTTGTTCTGCAACTTATTAGTAGTAGTTACCCGCAATACCCGTTTTCGCAAGCGAAAGCAACCATCACTACTGACATTGAAGGGATTCGCAGTTTTCAATTAACCCCGAAAACAAAAATTTTCTTTGTTTCCTCTGAGGAGCTGAAGAACCCGATTTTTTTTTTCGAGTATGCTCGTTGCGTCTTTGGAGCCTAATGTTATCCTACTTGTGCAATTTACGGATCAGGAAATTGCACAAACAACAATGCTCAAAATTATCCGCACACCCTGAAACATGTCCACAAGAAATTCTACGTGGATGACTTCTTCGAAAACAGCAAAGAAATCAACACGTACTACAATAAGAAAGCTTCAACCTGACCAGGTGGGTAACCACGGATCTTAAAACTCTGCAAACAATACCAGAAGACCACAGATCCATCACCGAAGACGAAAACCCGGAAACCAAACTATTTAATCGAAATTTCGGAATACAATGGAGAGTAATTAAGGATACACTCAGCGTCGCCACTGACAAACTACACGAGCTCGTCCAGAAGAAACCGACACCACAGACTTTGCACAGGTTCGTCAATCTTTGACCCAATTGAATTAGCAGCAACAATTCGAATAATACAGCAAGCAATTTGGAGAAAATGAATGAAACGGGACAACCAAATTACAAGAAATTTGATAAATTAATTTTTTGAGCTGCTCGACGAAAGAAACGACTTACAGACAGTGGAAATACCTTTACACTACTTTGGATACAGCCACAATAATATCACTTTTCATGTGTTTTTTGAGATGCCTCCTACAGCGCTTTGGCAGCAGTTGCTACTCGGCAAATCCGCAGCGAAATGGTTCTACGAAAAGCTCGAGTGGCTCCCCTAAAACAGCACACAGTAATTAAATTGGAACGATTTCAAAAAACATCAAATTATACTTGATGAAAAACAGTCAGCAGTGGACCTCTACATACAAAAAACCCACAAATACAACCAGCATTCGTCTCGCTAGCACACACGAAATATTCAACAAAATGAAAAATGGATTCTCTGTGTTCGCGCAAATATTGACAGGGTCATATAAAAACTCTAGTCACTGCCGACAAAAACAAGCTACTGCAATACAGCGGGAACTGGCACCACTACCTGCCTTTAGATTTTCAGACGATAAAACCTTCCCGTTTCAACAAACAGGATTAGATATCTTTCAACCAATCGCTTCGAAAACTGCTAGGAATCTATAACAAACGTTACGGAGTTATAAGGGCACGCCAAACAACACGTGCCGAACATCTCGAGATGTGCCGGAACCGATCAGTCGACGCCTCGATCCATACCTTAAGATGATTCTTCGCACGCAGAGGAAAACCAGCAAAAACTGTTTCTGTCAACGGTAAAAATTTCACCGCCGTCGAAAGAGAACTCAACAGACAATTCGACGCCGATGTTCCACGACAGTTTTACGCCAACAAATAGAATGAATGGATTTTCAACCCTGTCTATGCTCCTCATGCGTTTATGGTAACGACTCATTAGATCAGTTAACGACTCGTTCCATGCCATCATAGGAAGCCAGGTTCTAACAGAAGACAAAATCAAGTTCGTTCTTGGCAAAATTCAACACTAAATGAACGCAAGAGCCATCACTACAGTTTCAGCATCGCCCGATGATGTTTAAGCCCTCCCTCCAAATCATTTTTTTCTCGCGAGAACACACGCCAGCTTGCCACTTCTGCAAACCTATCAGCCCTCAAAACTCAGTTGACTGTGGAATTTTGCCTAACAACTAGCAACCTATGTTTGGAAACGCCTGATAAAGGAGTTTATCCCAACACTACTGCCGCGACAACGATGGCCAAATAAGATGCTTTCTATTAAAAAAAGGATAAGTTATTCTGATTCTTCAGGATAAGATGCCACGAGGACGGATTACAGGAAAGAAATCAATCGATGATGATCAGACAAGCGTTTACACCGTTAAAATAAGGGACAAACTTGTGTCATTGCCAGCCATTAGACTGGCGCCTGTTAATCCGGACTATTACAATGACTCAACAAACAAAGATTCACGACAATGAAAGCCTCATCCTAAACTAGCCTTGCCGCCGACAACCGTAGCCTATAACTTCAACAGACACTTACACGACCGTTAAGACAATGTTTCAAGTTATATAAATAGGAACCAACCCAACCATTTTTTCTTAATTTATTTTGCAACTGCAAAATGAGACCGAGTGTTATACACAAGTTTGACAATTGACAAACCATCTTAGATGACCTCATCTTTTCATATACAATCAGGAAAGCTACAGGAAAAAAAATTGAAAACCAGAACACAGCATATACAAAGATTTAAAAAAAGCATAAAAATAAATTACGTAACACCCGCAACCAAGTAATTTATATTCAAATAAACGTTAAAAGCGAGAAAGAGCTCAAATACATCGTTAAAACTGATAACGAATACAAGTTCGTTTTCTATACAAAATGTTTGATATTCAAAAGCAGCAGGAAAAGTAGACAATTTTTTCTGTGCCTGATTTTTCCTAGTTCTCATTAACGATTCGCCAGACATGAATCAAACTTATTGTTCAGCCTTTCAAAAAAACTGGTGAACATTTCTGTTCGGGGTGGTTTTTTTATTCGGAGCAATTTCTCAAAACTCTTTGCTCTCTCGGGGAGTCAATCTCTTGATCTGCATGGGCCTGGTCGGGGAGTGTGCACACTACTATATTAACCTGCCCTGCTCGTTATATACTTTACACGTGACTATGAAATTGTCCAATTTGAATTAAAGCAAGCTATTTGGTCTAATTAATTTTTTATACAACTAAATTTTTTCGACCAAAAATTTGAAATAATCATTCTAAAATTTATCGTTTTTCCATTATTTAAAATAATAAAATTGAGACAATAAAACTTATCAAAATCGAAAATGGAGGCAATAAAGCTTATCGAATTGAGGCAATAAGCTAGTTGATCTTATTATTTCCCTAAACGACTCAACCTAGACACTAGAAGTTCAATCTTATCGGCCTACAGTTAATTGTTTGCGAATATTTAAATAACCAAACAGTATTCGAGATAAATTAGGGGGCAGTTGGAACATTCAGTGTTTTGTGCAAACTGTATTTTTTGGCCTATATAATCCAAATGCATTTTATGGCATAAAAGAGTAAAGGTTCGAAAACCTGGGTGGAATTTTCAAAAATGGAAAAATCAATATTAGTATTTTTTTTTCAAAAAAAAATCCCGTCACATGCTACCTAAACCACAGAGAGGTGTATTTTGCATCAGCCAAGGATAAAAGTTTTAAGTAGACCAAATAGCATGCTGCAATTAAAATCAGGCACGAATTCTAACACGAATAAA